TCGACCGACGGTCGAATACGATCGGGGGGAGCCTACGGTGCCAGAGCTCGTCATTCGACATACGGTCGAATAGAATGCCTCGCCGAGGGCCAGCTACCCTCCCCGAGGTTTGTGGCAGGGGGTCCACGGGCCAGGGCGTTTCATTCGACCGACGGTCGAATAGAATCGGGGAGGGTCCATGGTGCCAGAATTTGCCATTCGACCGACGGTCGAATAGAATAGCTGCTCGATGATACGTAATTGTTGTATTTCGGATCTTCCGAGTCTGGGAACGAGGGGTGGAAATTCGAGCAGCTATTCCTGACGGATAGGCACCCTATCCCGAGGTACGGCCGAAAGCTATAAGTGGTGTTTGGCCCCCTTGGTATCAGCAGGTGGCCGATAGCTTTCGGCAGTACCTCCAACTTTGAGGATGTGGCCGCCTCATCCTTAAAGATTGGTTTAGGTACCCTTTAAGCCTATAGCGCGCTTGGTAATCCTCCTCCTCCTCCTCATCATCATCATCATCATCCTCATCATCATCATCATCATCATCATCATCATCATCATCATCATCAACCATACCGCGCGGGCGAACGCGAGATCGAGATCACGACAAACCTGAGCTAAAACCACCCGCTGAACTGCCGCAAAGCGCAAAGTCGACCTCCCACCCTACCGCGCGGACCAGGTCGAGGTCGAGATCGCGACTTTCTTCAGTTCAGACAAACTACTGAACTGCAGCGGGGCTTGAATTCAACCTGCTTCATACCAAGCGGACGAGGACAAGGTCGAGTTCACGACCCGTTCACGACCCGTTCCAGTGCAGACCCAACGCTAAAGGGCACCGGGGGCGTGAACACGACCTCGTCCCTACCGACCGTCCAAATACAGACGGACCGCTTAACTGCAACGGGGCGTGCACTCGAGCTGCTTCCTACCGCGCGGTCGAAGACGAGGTTGAGTTCACGACCCGTCTCAGTTCAAACCACTCGTCATACTCGCGCTCTTCCTACACTCAGCCTACTCCCTGCTGCGCTGTTGCACAAGCACGGTGGCGAGTTAGCCGCAGGCAGCTGGATACAAGTACTAGTTGCAGCTGCAGCGTTAGAAATAATACTGGCATTAGTCCTTATACTGGTACTCGTACCAGCATTCGTAAAGTCTAAGCATTACGAGTCGTTTTGGCACCAGTAATCGCATTCTCCGTAATAGTCATAATCATACGTTAACCAGCGTGGACTCGAAACAGTAGTGTCTTGCAGTACACGCGAAATAATCTAGGCGATGCAATCTAGATGGCGCAATCTAGGTGGTGCAATCCCTGTGATGCAATCTATGTGGTACAAAGCAGTGCAAAGCAATACATACTGAGCAATGCAAGACATTGCAAAGCAGCGCACAGCGATGCAAAGCAATGCAGAGCAATGCAAAGTGATGAAAAGCAACGACAAGCAATGAAAAGCAATGCAAAGCAATCCAAAGCAATGCAATGCAAAGCAATGCAAAGCCATGCAAAGCAATGCAAAGCCATGCCAAGAATTGCATATCAACGCAACATCATGCAAATGAACGCTATGCAAAAACGATGCAAAACGATTCAGGGCACAACAATGCAATGCAGAGCAATGTAATGTGATGCAGGGGAAAGCAAAGCAAAGCAACACAACGCAACGCAGTGCAATTCAAAGCCATGCAAAGCAATGCAAAGCAATGCAAATAAGTTCAATGCAATACAGTACAATGCAAAGCGATGCAAAACAGTGCAAAGCAATGTCGAAATGCAATGTGATGAAAAGCATTGCAAAGCCATGCAATGAAATGCAAAACCAAGCAAAGCAATGCAGAGCAACGCTGAGTAATGCAAACCAGTGCAAAGCAACGCAAATGAATACAGTGCGATGCAAAGAAATTGAAGCCAGTCAAAGCAATGGAATGCGATGCGAAGTAATGCAGGGCAATGCATGACAATGGAATGCAGAACAACGCAGCGATGCAACAAAAATGCAAAGCAACGCAATGCGATGCAAAGAAATACAGTGCGGTAGAAAAGAAATGCAAAGAAATGAAAGGCAATGCCGGGCAATGCACAGCAATACAAAGCAAAGCAAAGCAATGCAAAGCAATACAAAGCAATGCAAAGCAATGCAAAGCAATACAAAGCAATGCAAAGCAATGCAAAGCAATGCAATGCAAAGCAATGCAACGCATGCAATGCAAAGCAATGAAAAGCAATCCAAAGCAATGCATGCAAGCCATGCCAATGCAATGCGATGCAAAGCTGCCCAAAGGAACGCAAAGCAATTCAACGCAGTGCCGAGCAATGCAAAAGCCAAGCAAAGCAAATCAACACAAAACAAGATAAACCACTGCAAAACAATGCAAAACAATGCAATGCGATGCGATGCAAAGCGGTCCAAAGAAACAGAAAGCAACGCAACGCAATGCCAAGCAATGCAAAGCAATGCAGGGCAATGCAAAGCAATGCAAAGCAATGCAGAGCTTAGCAAAGCAACGCAAAGAAAGATAAAGCAAGACAGAGCAATGCAATGCAATGCAATGCGATGCGACGCAAAGGAATGCAGGGCAATGCACAGCAATGCAGAGTATAGGAAAGTATGATAAAGCAATGCAACGCAACGCAAAGCAACTCAATGAGATGTAATGCAAAGCGGTCCAAAGACACGCAACGCAATGCAACGCAAGGCCAAGCAATGCAAATAAATGCAAGGCAAAGCCATGCAAGCAATGAAAAGCAGTGCAATGCAATGAAAAGCAATGCAGGGCAATGCAGGGCAATGCAAAGCAATGTAATGCGATGCAGAGCAAAGCAAAGCAAGGCAACGCAATGAAAAGCAGTACAACGCAATGCAGCACAATGCAAAGCAATGCAAAACAAAACAAAGAAATGCAATGTGACGAAAAGCAATGCAAAAACATGCAGTGTAATGCAGAGGAATGCAGAGCAATGCAGAACAATGCAAAGCAATGGGAAGCAATGCAAAGAAATGCAGAGCAACGCAATGTAAAGCAATGCAAAGCAATGCAGACCAATGCAAAGCAATGCAAAGCCATGCGAAGCAATGTAATGCAATGCAAAGCAAGGCAAAGGAATGCAACGCAATGCAAAGATATGCGAAGCAATGAAACGCAGTCCAATGTAATGTAAAGCAGAGCAGAGCAGTGCAAAGCAATGCACAGCGATTGCAACGCAGTGCGATTGCAATGCTATGCGATTCCAACGCAATGCGATTGCAATGCAAGGGCGGCGACGGGCGGCGGCGACGGACGGTCACGGCGACAACAAGCGCGGCGATCGACACCCTAGCGCAGAAGCAGCGGCGACGGACGGCGACGACGGGCGGCGACGACAACAATCTGGCCAGACCGACACCTAGGTCCACTTCCTCTTAGACCAAATAAGAACCCATTAGTGCGGTCACTGTTTGGGGAAAACTATTAATAGCCGCAAGTGGAACAGCATCAGTAACAGTAGGAACAGTACGAGTAAGGATACAAGTATTAAGAAATACAGAATTAGCATTAGCGTTCGTACTATTTTTCGGTTTTCAGTAGTGGTCTGTTCAACAATATCAACCTGAATCGCAAAATTGCCCATATGTCAACAGAAGTCTTAGTGGCAGTAATCGTGTTAGTATGTGAGTCGGTACTCGAGCTAGTAGCACGGTTTAAAAATGTCTAGTCGTCTAGTTAGTAGTCAGTAATTGGTCGCAGACAGTAGTTATAGTAAGTATCCAATAGCTAGTTGTTAGCAGTTCGTAGTCTATCTAGTAGCTGGTAATGCGGAATAGTAAGACCAGCAGCAGCAGCGGCAGCAGCAGTAGCAATAGAAGTAGTAATAATAGTGGCGGTGGCGGAAATAATATTAATATTGGTGGCAAAAGTTGTAAACTGAATAGTAGCAGTTGAAGTTGCAGAAAAAAACAGGATGCGGACTGCGGGGCCCCTGTGGAAGGCCGTTCGGGGTCTTTTGCCGCAAGGGTGTCGTTTCAATGTTTCGCGGTGTCCGATCTCGGGGGGGGCGAAGGAGGAAGGAGGCAAGATGCATGAGGCAGCAAAGGCTGGAGGCAGGAGGGAAGGGGCAAGTGGTGGGAGGGAGAAAGGATGAAGCAGCAAAATGGGGAAGGAGTGACGAGGAGGAGGACTCGGTTCGGTTTGCAGAGGGGTCCCTCCCGCCCCTGAGCTTTGACTGCTAGTCCGTCGACGGGACGCGCCGGTTGGTGGCCGGGCGCGATGCGCGACCAGCTCCCTCTTCCTCCTCCTCCTCCTCCTCCTCCTCCTCCTCCTCCTCCTCCTCCTCCTCCTCCTTCTCTTCCTCCTCCTCCCCTCCTCTCCCTCATCCCTCCTCTTCCTCCTCCTCTTCCAACTCCTCCACCCTCCTCATCATCATCCTCTGCCTTCTCCTTCTCCTCCTCCTCCTGCCTCCTCTGCCTCCTCCTCCTCCTCCTCCTCCTCCTCCTCCTCCTCCTCATTATCATCATCAGCAGCATCGGCATCAGCATCAGCAACAGCATCATCATCATCATCATCATCATCATCAGCAGCAGCATCAACAACATCAGCATCAGCATCAGCATCAGCATCAGCATCAGCATCAGCATCAGCATCAGCATCATCATCGTCATCATCATCATCATCATCATCATCATCAGCAGCAGCATCAGCATCATCATCACCATCATCATCATCAGCATCATCATCATCATCATCATCATCATCATCATCATCATCATCATCATCATCATCCTCATCCTCATCCTCATCCTCATCCTCATCCTCATCCTCATCCTCATCCGACGACGACGACCGAAACGACGACGAAAACGACGAAAACGAGGACGACGAAAGCGACGACGACGACGCGAGACGAGACGAGACGAGACGAGACGAGACGAGACGAGACGAGACGAGACGAGACGAGACGAGACGAGACGAGACGAGACGAGACGAGACGAGACGAGACGACCCCCGGGGACACCGCACAGGGCATGCCGCGCGGC